TGAGGAAGAGGTATGCTCTCAAAGACAAATTATGTTTTGATCATCAGAATAGTCAAATGATATTCTTTCATAAGGTATATCAGCAAACAGAACGGATACTGCACTAAAAAGACATCTTGGCAAAGTATAAGCTAGCATTTAAAGATAAGACACAAAGAAAGGTATTAAAAATGAAAACAAACATTTCCTTAGCTAGATAATTTACGTGAACTTTCTCAGACTTATGTCTAGAATACTAAAAATGACACATATATGCGGATATCATGGTTTGATATTAAACATCTACAGCAAATATTCCTCGCTTTACCGAGACAGTTAAAAACCAGTAATGCTCAGAGAATAAGTTTAAAAATTTGGCTTCCTTTAAAAGGTACCAGACTCTTCCTGACCTTTACTGAACACTGCACCATGCCCTCTCTCCTGAAATTCCAGGACCAATTCAATTCCAGCTTTCACATCCAGAGATTTCTCTCATCTTGAAAGAAAATGTCCATTTAAGTAATTATATATATATATATATATAAATTTTTTTAAAGGTCGAAATGCTCAGTCCGTTCGAGGTCACAGCAACCCTCCTCCATCCATCAGGATTTCGAGGCTGTGAATCTTTACAGAAGACTGCCTATCTTTCTCCTGTATAGTAGCTGATGGATTAAAACTGCTGACTATTCAGTTAGCAGCTTGATACATTGCAAATTACACCACCGGGGCTCTCGGCTTCAGTTTAAGTAAGAAAAATAAAGGAAGGAATCTTCAATTAAAGGACTTGGCAATTTCAAAGATTAGGAAGGGAGAACAATAAATAGAGTCTGCTCTCTAGTTTCTCAATTATCTAATAACCCACAGTTTCTTCAGCATAATCATGTGCATTTTGTGGGTGAATGGCTGACAAAGCACCTACAGCAAAATAACCCCTGCATCTAATCACAGAGTAAGAAGACTATCCACAAGTATATAAAGAACACAATAACTGCATAAAGAAAAGAAATAATTTTTACTTTGCCCTGAAAACGCTAAAGATTCTTGGAAAAGAATAATAATCTAGAACCAAGAGTCCTTGTGCAAATATATCCTTCTCTAAATTTAGGAGGCAAACAGTGTTAACATTTTAGCTGTAAATTACCTGCAGAGTTGTGAAGGAACTGATTATTTGAGAAATAAACCAACCAAACAAAACCCTCCAAACAAAGTTCACATTACAGAGATGAGAAGTAAAGGATCCAGCATACATTTCTCAATGTATGGGACAGATGTAATGAATGCAGACTGTTTACAAGCTTTTTCTCTAAAGCTAAGTCATTGCTGTGGGGTTAATTTTTCTCCTAGTGACCTTACAAGGCCCACTGAGTTTCCAAGTCTATCACCTTTACACAACTTGATTGCCACACCATCCTCTCGTGGAGTGAGTGATAGGTTCAAACTGTCCACCTTTTGGTTGGCATCTGAGTGCTTAATCTCCACATTATCCATGCTTCTTTCTATAATGCTTTCCCCCTGATGCAATCAACTAAATGCTGACTCATAGTGACCCTGTAAGAGAGAGTGGAACTGCCCTTAGGGCTCCCCAGGCTGAAGACCCCTATGGAGGCCGACCACCATAACTTTTTCTCCTGAAGTGTAGCACTAGTTTCAAACAAATGGGTTTACAGTTTATAGCCTGGCGCATTAAACATTGCGTTACTAGAACTCCTTTATCTAATGCACCTTTTTACCCCTTTCATATGCTTTCATCCAAGGATTCCTAAGTATTAGAACTATGAAAGAAAAAGCATTAAAACCAAATAAATTTTTTAAACCAAAGTTAAAATTGCCGTGTAATTAACAATTCTTTTTCTGATAGTCGAAGTCCATTAGGCTGTTTCCCTAGCCCTCCATGTCTTTCATATACGTTGAAGAACTGTAATGCTGACACTAGATCAAATTAACCTGGGAGTACCAAGAGATCGGTCATACTAAATCTGAAACAATGCATCTCACAGATTAAATCAGACACTGCTTTCATCCAATTTTCATTAAAAGCAATGACATTTGTAACAGTAGTTCATTTTCTCCTGAGGTGAATTTCATTCTATTACTTATCAGCTCCCTCCTCCCAACCTAAACCTCCACCCCATTACAAATTTTTTTCAAAAGTTACTACCAAGTCAATTTTGACTCCCGGTGACCCCAAGTGCTGTATGTAGAGCAGAAGGGTAGCTCACAGACTTTTCATGACTGTACCACCTTTCAGAGGCAGATCACTAGACCTTTTCTCCTAAGGTGGCTCTGAACCTTCCCCTCAGCACCCTCATGCTTAACTGTCACACTACCTAAGGCCACATAACTCTTATTTTCAGTATAAATATACATTTGTGTGTGTATATAAATATGTACACACACACACACAAAGCCTACATAGATGTATATGTATACAGATGAACAGACGAGTTCCCCCCCCCCAGTATTTTCTCTCCTTCCTTTCTTATCTTTCTTAACCACTACAGCCTTTCCTTTCAAGCCTTCCTTAAACTTAGAACATTAAGCTCATTGCTCAGGACCAAGCTCACTGCTGCTGAGTCGAAATCAATTCATAGCTGTCTCTTCAGTGGGTTTTCAGAGGCTGTTGATAGCATGGGAGGAGACTGTCCACCTTTGGTGGATGTGACCTGCCTGAGAGGTTAGCAGTGCACCTCCCTAAAACAGAGCTAACAAAATTAACTAATATTCTTTACTCAGATATTATGGTAAGTAATGATTTCTTTTTTTAAAAAAGAAAACGCTGTTATTTCAAAAGGTGTAAATACACCTGTTGTTAACAAACTTTTAGGGATTTTAACAGTCTGATTTTAGTAGTTTAACAGTTAACAGTAGAGCTTTGTATTGCTTGGAATAGCGAATTTATGACTAGAATGACAATAACCAAAATTTATATAAAATTTCAATAACTTAACAACTAAAAGACAACCAATCATAAAATATCCAAAGACTTGAAAAGACTTCTCACAAATGAGGACATCCAAGTGGCCACTAAAAACAAGGAAAGGCTCTGTGTCATTAGACATCTGAGAGAGGCAACTCAAAAGCACAATGGGACATCATTTAATTCCCACTAGGAGGATGAGTTAAAAGCATTAAAAAACAAGGAACTTATGCAATATTATTCAAAATTGGTGAGCCTGGAAGACATTATGCGGAGTGAAATATCTCAGTCGCAAAAGGACAAATACTACATGGTGCCACTGCTGTAAAATGGGACTGATATCAGGGTTGGGGTTATTAAAGGTAAAGTTGCATAGGTTGTTGGAATTGTTATCAATAAATAACCTGTAAGAAGCTGAATTGGTAAGAGTTGTATGAAAGATGAATTTTCAACAATGACCAACAATAAAGAGCACCTGCTGAGGCTTCTTCTATCTATATAAGCAAATACCTCAAGGGATTTGTTTTTCTAGTCTGAAGGTTTAGGGTCTTGGTTTCATGGGACATACCAGATAATTGGCCTAATAATGTGTTTGGCACTTTTGTTCTGCCTCTGAATTCCTTATGTAGTGCCTAAGGGCATAAAAGTTTGCAAGTGGTCACCTGAAGCACCATCATTTCTATCTATTAACCTCAAGCAATAGAGCAGGGAATTGAATCAGGATAAGGAGGACGATAAGAAATGGTGGCCAACTTCCTCCTTGGCAATGAGAACAGAAGCAGAATGCATGCTCTTCAATTCCTTCTTCCTCTTCACCTCAACTTTCGTAGTCAAAGATGGGCTTAATACTAATCTTTATGAGGACGCACAGGAGTGAAGCTGTGAGGTCCCAGAGCTTACAATGAATTCCTGCAGCTGAGGTTGTTCTTCTCACCAGCCATCAACTGCTTTACCACAGCTCTTCCTCCATAAAATGTAACTCAGCAATACTTTAACTTGTAGAATTAAGGGGCCAGGAAAGTCTCAAATACCAAAGAAATGAAAAGAGAAGCCTACTGACATATTATTATTAATTATTCCATTTTTACCCTAGCAAAGGACATTAAGAAAGCAAAAAAAAAAATCTTTATCTACAGTACTATATTAAAATATATTTTTGTCACACATTTGGAAAACATCTGTCCTTCAAGCTATCATAAATTTTATCTTAAGAACTAAACAAATTCTTTTTTAAAAAAAAAAGTCACATCGTATTGGTTCCTCCCTCCACCCCCACTGTATCTTGTGTGGGAAAAATGAAAACAAACTGCCTCTAAGAGCGGGCACCTGGGAAAAATGACTTAACCCAGTCCAACACTCAATCATAATTATGAGATATCATAGATGATCTCTTTGGCTTGGCTACACAGCTTTTATAACACTTAATCCATAGCACTGCCTTCCTTCCAAAACACACAGAACAAATACTGTGCCTAGAAAATAGAAGAAACCCAGGGCTGGAAATCCCCTGAGACTAGCAACTCAGAGCATTAGCTGAGACCGAAGGAGAGAGGCTCATTTAGTCCATAAAAATAACTTCCAGTTGTATTAAAGAAAAGAAATATCAGTTCAATATTGCAAAGGAAAGACAAATTGGGTCAAAATGCTAATCTAAAATGTTCCCAAAACCCAAAATACACCTGGACTTACTTGGCCTTAATAAAGAACAGCTGGGCAATAGGAATAGTTCTTTTATAAAGCCTAACTAGGCCATAAAAGTGAAAGAAAACCTTAAATTGCACACATCCCCTCAAGATATGTTTCCAAAAGCTAAAAGCTATTTAAGACTAAAATTTATTGAGCTAAAGTCTTCTATTAATTGTAGCTAATATGTAAATAAAAGTAACATTTTTATCCTTTCCCAAAAACTCTTTAGCAAATTTTCTCCTACGGTACTAAAGACTTCAAGAAGAAAATGTCTTCCAGATATAAATGCGTCATCTCGCCCTTTACAAGGGAGAAGTTGTTTATGAATGTCATTACTTTGAAAGCAAAACCTAAGCAATGGATTTATGTAGAGATTGCAATTTCATATTATAAAATGAAATAAAAACATACTTACGATGTTCCCTGCTGAGAATTAGTGTGGGTTTTTGAGGATGTATCATGTTCTGCAGGAAAGGGGGGAAAAATCATCAGAGCAGCACTTTATGAGCACTTGATAAGCTCCCCCTTTTTACTGTTTCCCTACCTTTTACATCTAAATAGTATACTTAATTCTGTCACCCAGAGTGCTACACTTTGTACTTGACATAATCTCACTATTACAAAGTAATACATGTTATTTATACATGGAAGATTTGCTCAGAATTGTCAAGTTCTTAGTCTAAATACATTTTAGAAAGCACTGCTTACTTAAGGAGTGAGGTAAGCATTCTACAGCTCTCTTCCTTACCCTAAAACTAGCCACTGTATTCTCTCTATCCAAGAGCCCCCTCAAACTCAGTCTACAACGGCAGGACATTGCAGCATGTGAAAGGGAGCTCTGGTGGCGTGGCCCTTAGGGAGCTGTGCTGCTAACCCAGAGGCCATGCCTTACTGGCAGTTCAAATCTACCAGTGGCTTGGAGAGAAAATGATAAAAAATCTCCTCCCGGGCGATATATGGTCAATAGAATATCAGCTAGCTATTACTGGCAAGATGTGAGAGTTTTTAAGTTACCAGTAACGCTTATACACCCTCAGTTTCTGCCCCTGGCAGGCTGTACTCTGCTTCCTCTCCATCCTTCAAATACTCAATCTTCTATCTTACTAATTTACAGGCCATCCCTGGGTTACAAAAGCCCAACTGATGCACAGCTTCTCCTTCTCCCTTTCATGTAGGGCTTCAGAGCAGTTGTCACATAGCACAAAGGGAAACAGGAACAGATCAGAATTTTTGCAATTTGGATGCTTTGTCAAGGTAACTAAAATGGGAAGAATTACAGGTAGAAGCTCTAGAATGGGAAACTGTCAAGAGGAATGTTGTGGTGGGGGTGGGGTTGTTAAATGCCATCGAGTCAAGGAAGACTCATAACAACTCCATGAACAACAGATCTGCACTCTGACCTATCCTGTGCCATCCTTATCATGTCTGATATATTTGAGTCAATGCTGCATCAATTCAACTCGTTTTCCAATTAGGCTCTTCTAACAGCATGTCCAAAATATGTGAGTCTTCACCAATGTTGGCTCCAAAGCACATTCTGGTTGCACTTTTTCTAATACACATCTGTTTTTTGGCATTCCACAGGATATTCAGCACTCTCCTCCAACACTGTAACTCAAACACATCGATTCTTCTTGTTCTTATTCATTGTCCAGCTCTCAAGTGATTGGAAAAACTGTGGCCTGCATCAGACACTGCTGTCAAGTCAAGAATGATGTACAGATACCAAGACCAACAGATCTGAACCTGAACTCTGTCCTACCCTGTGCCATTCTTATCATATCTGACTTATTGAGCCTATTGCTTCAGTCACTGTGTCAATCCATCTCATGGAGGGTTTTCCTTTCTTTTACTGACCCTCCACTTCCCTAAGCATGATGTTCATTCCCAACAAAGAATTTCTCCTAACAACATGTCCAAACTATGTGAGATAAAGGTTTGCCATCTATGCCTCTAAGGAGAACTCTGGATATGCACCTTTCCCAAGACATATGTTTGTTCTTTTGACACTTTATGGGATATATTCTTCTTCAACACACAACTGAAAGGCATCAATTCTTCTGTCATCCGTATTCATTGTCTATCTGTCAGATGCATAGCAAGTTATTCAAAAGACCATGGCCTGAATTAGATGTACCTCAGTCTTCAAAATGACATCACTGCTCCTCAGTACTTTGGAGAGGTCCCTGGCAGAGGACTTTCCCAACACAGTATGTCTGTCTCCTGATTGCTGGTACCAAGGATGGTGATTGTGGATCCAAGTAGAATGAAACCACTGACAGTTTCAATCTTTTCTCCATCTATCATGATGTTGCCTAGTGGCCCAGGGGTAAGGATTATTTTTTTTTCTTGGTGTTGAGATCTAATCCATACTGAAGGCTGCATTCTTTGATCTTCTGCAGCAAGTGCTTCATGTTCTCATTTTCAAGTAAGCAAGATTGTGTCATTTGCATAATGCACAAGATTGATGAGTCTTCCTCTGGTCCTGAAGCCATATTATTCTTTGTAGAGTCCAGATTCTCAAATGATTTACTCAGCATACAAACTGGAGCCTTTTCAAGTGCTTACTTGTGAGACTGCATTATTGGCAGGACTGCAGAGATCCACACAGGCGAAAGCAGCTCTCATGTCACCATCTTTGAGTGGGGCAACAGCCATCTTTGAGGCTCCACTTTACTGTTTTGTTTTTAATTTATTAATAAAAACATAAATTTTTATTTTATTTTGGTTTGCCAACAAATCTGCTTTCTGGTTACAGAAATTTTCCTTCATTTTTAAATGGCTGAATTAAAACATGGTGTTTGTTGTTGTTGCTGTGTTGGAACCGATTCATAGCTGACTTTCCAGTGGATCTTCAGAGGCAGAAAATCACATGGGAGGAAACTGACCATCTTTCTCCCATGCACCCTGCTGGCAGATTCAAATCACAACTCCTTACCAAGAAGCCACCAGAGTTCCCTGAAAAAAGCACTTACTCATAACAGATTCTTTGTCACAATCACCTTTACCGCCATCATGCACAATTTTTAAATCACTGAAAAAAAGATTTGAGCCTTTCTTTGTTCTAAAGACAAAAAGTTATTGGTAAGCCTGAATCAAATCAAAGCTGACCCTCTGGCAGGTTTTCAGAAGTTATAAATCTCACAGAAGGAGATTCTCCATTTTTGTCCCTTGAAGAAGTTCAAGCTGCCCTAAAGGAAATGGCAAAAAACAAGGCCCCAGGAATTGATGGCATAACGATTGACATATTTCAACAAACAAATGCTGCCTTAGATGTGCTCACCAAGTTGTGCCAAGAAATCTGGATAACAACCACTTGGCCAACTGACTGAAAGAGATATATATCTGTTCTCATTCCAAAGAAAGGTGACCCGATAGTGGGTAAGTTATAAAACAACGTCATTAATATCACATGCAAGCAAGATTCTGCTGAAAAGGATTGAAAAACGACTGGAAGAGCACATCAACAGAGAACTGCCTGAAGTGCAGGCTGGGTCTATAGAAGAGGCCATGATAGATATTTTACTAGAGATATTATAGCTAATGTCAGATAGATCTTGGCAGAAAGCAGAGAGTACCAGAGGAATGTCTATCTGTGTTTCATTGACTATGCAAAGGTGTTTGACTGTGTGGATCACAACAAACTGTGGCTGACTCAGAGAAGAATGGGAATCCCAAAACACTTCATTGTGCTTATGCGAAACCTATACTTGGACCAAGAGGCAATTGTCAGAATAGAGCAAGGAAACACTGCATGGTTCAAATTGGGAAGGATGTCCATTCAAGGATGTGTCCTATCACTATATCCTTTCAATTTATATGCAGAACAGTTTATCCGGGAGGCTGGGCTCTATGAGAAGTGTGGCATCAGGACTGGAGGCAGACTCATTAACATTCTGCATTATGCAGATGACACAACTCTGTTTGCTGAAACTGAGGAGGACCTGAAGCGCTGGCTGAAGAAGGTCAAGGACTGCAGTCTTCAATATTGATTGAAGCTTCACCACTAGGTCTATTGGCAGCATCATGATAGATGGTGAAGATTGTTGACAGGTTCAGTTTGCTTGGTTCTACAATCAACATTCTTGGTACCAGCAGCCAGGAAATTAAAACATGAGTTGCACTGGGAAAGTTTGCTGTCAGAGACCTCTCCAAAGTACTGAAGAGCAAAGATGTCAGTCTGGAGACTAAGGTGCACCTGATACAGTCCATGTTCTTTGCAATTACCTGCTATGCATCAGACAGCTGGACAATGACCAGGGGTGATAGAACAAGAGTTCATGCCTTTGAGCTGTGGTGCTGGAGAAGAGTATTGAATATACTATGGACAGCTAGGAGAACAAGTCTATCCTGGAGAGGGTAAAGCCAGGCTGCTCCTTGGAGGAAAGGATTCTGAAGCTTCGTCTGGCATACTTTGGACATGTTGCAAGATGGATCAGTCCTAGGAGAGGGACGTCATGCTTGGGAGGGTGAAGGGACAGCACAGGAGAGGAAGACCGTGGACTGATTCAGTCACTGAGTCACTGGGGTAATGAGGATTGGTATGTTGGAGACAGTAGGATTGGCAAGGGATAGACAGAGCAGGGCTTACGGCTGTTGTACCTAGTGTTACAATGAGCCACTGGAGATTCAATGGCACATAACAACAACATATACCATAGACCAGGTGTTCTCAGTAGTACTTACAGACTGTCTACTGGATATACCAATATGTTTAAGACACTTGGTCTTGTTCTAATGAGCTTATAGCTGATTGAGAGAATGAAAGAGACAAATATCCATGATTCCAGGCAGGTGATACAGACATCAATCACACAAATGATGCAGAAAATCTAGAGAATGGCCTCTCTACATGGCTGATGACCGAAAAGAGGAACTGAGAGAAGGAAACCAGTCAATCAATGCCTGTTAGAAGGAAGGAACAGAGTAGCGAAGACATGGAGACAGCAAAGTCTAAGTTAGGGCGGGGAAGTGGGAGTAGTGGAAATGGCACACATTTGGAATGGGGAAGGCTAGGAAAGAGAAGCTGTGATGCAGTACAAAAAGACAAGGTGCCATGCGATATTACAAGACTTAAAATGCCAGTACATGAGTTATGGCTTTATTCACCAGGCAATAAAACAGTATCAATGCCTTAAATAAGGACAGCAACTCTTTAGCAATAGTAACCTGATAATGCTACTCTTGTATAACTTGCAATGGAGCCGGAAGTGTAAGAAAACAACTCAGTCAGTCGGGAGGCTGCTGTATTTTTTGAGGCATTATATAGCTGAAGCAAGACTGAAGTGGAATGAAAAGAAGGGTGTGTTTTAAGCAGGAGTTACTAACAATCCTATTAATGTCTAATAAAAGTTCTAGTGCATTTGCAATTTGTCACATATCCTCATGGTGGCAGCAGCTCTTACATGATAATTCTGGGTATCCCCCAGCCCCACCTTTGTTCATAGCAGAGGAGTGGCCATCGGTTCTCCTTCTTAATCACCGTCAGGACAGTTATTTTGACTGGTTATACCGAGACAGCCAGGTTTTACAGATGTGGACACAGACACTGACATACATACTAAATCCCCATAACTTTCCTCATTATAAAATGCAAAACCTAAATACCTATAGGGAGCTCTGGTGACCTAAAGGTAAGGAGATGCACTGCCAAGCTAGAGGCAGGTGGTTCGAATCCAGCAGTTGCCCTGCAGGTGAAAAATGGGCAATCTTCTCCTATGCAATATACAGTCTCTGAAAACCCACTGAAGGTCAGCTATGAGCTGGTTATGATTTAATGGTACATAACAACAAGAAATACCTCTAAGATTACCACTGAAGAAAATAAAAGCTATTCTTACATACAGTTTTCAACTTAAAATGTTTTGAGAGCACATTAAAAATAGAGACTGGGTCAGGTAAAGTACTTTATCAAGATAGCTATCTGCATTTGTTCTCCCTTCCCTTATTTTCAACATAAAAAACCTTTTCTTTCTTTCAGGGCATTAAAAAAAATTGTTTTCATATTAAAACAATAAAAGCCATGATTTATTCTCCAATGCAGTAATTGGTTCCAGATATGGACTTACTTTGGTTTTGGGTTGCAGAAGTGATGTGCTGAGAATCCTAGGAGCAAAAATAAAAATCTCTAGTTAATTAAAAAGAGAATTGCATAGCTTTTAACACTGAAAAGATAGTCTCATGAAAATGTCAATTACAGAGAAGGAGGAAATTTAAGTGTGCAGAGAATTCTCCTATAACTTATATGGTATTATAACAATTAACACTTTGTTATATGACCTTTACCATGTATCTATCACTGTATCCACCCATCAGTATCATTTTCTAGGCATTTCAGTGTAGGGATAAAACACTGGTAATTATAATTTTTATGTAAGATACTTTTTATGTTGTTTCCCTGAACACCATTTTATTTTGACACTAAGACATTTTTACAAAGTTTAATACTTCATTTTAAAACCAATAATAATGAATCACCTTCTTTTTCCTTTTAAGAGTCTTTAGAAAATAAACGAGAAATCTAATTTGTGGCAAATTAGAATTTGCAGAGAGATAACGTCTTTCAAAAATCATTTTATAGGGGAGGCATAGCCATAATATACTTACAGTGTGCCTTTAAACAAAGCCCAACAGAATACAAACTTGAAAATGAGATTTCTAAATTCTGATGATTACCCCAAAGTGAAAAAAAAACAAACAAAAAAAAAACAAACCAAAAACAAAACAAACCAACCCACAAAACAAAAAAACTCTTCCAAAGAGGATAGGGCAGTCTTTTAACAATGCATTACTCGAAAATACTGCCCTGGAAACAAGGAAGTGAGCAACTGACTTACTTGTTCTTAATATCCTCCTGTTAATCTTTAAAAGATTTAGGAAGTAGGAAAAGTGTGAGATATACATAAATGAAGAGAGTCCTTGCATAATGATCAACTGTTAACCAAAAAGTTGGAGGTTCAAGTCCATCCAAAAGCACCTTGAGAGAAAGGCTTACATAGATATTCCTGAAAAATCAGCCATGCAAACACACAGTTCTGCGTGACACACGTGGGGTCATCTTGGGCATGGCTCAACAGAAAAGGATTTCTGTGCATATCTCAATTCTGAACCAGGAATTGGGCAACCTTCCTCGCTTAACTTCTCTTTTCTCCGTTTTTTAACGTAAACATGCTGAAATGAGAATTTACTGAACTAGGTGCTTCCATAAGCTATGAAGCCCTATACAAATACAAGATGCTGTTGCTAATATAATTTAGAGGGAAAAGTGTTTGACAGCATTATTAAGTGCTTGAAAGGCTAATTTAGTGGCAGTATTAACCTAATCTCTAAAAATTTCAACAAAGAAATAATGCATTAATTTGGCACACAAGAATAATTTAGACTTTTTTCACTCGGGTGGGTGTGATGTCGGCTACAATTCAAGGAATTACCTTTGTGGGAAAAGGAAATTTAGATGGCTCAGCTGTACTAGGCGTATGTATTGCTGTCAAAGGAGGAGGCCATGAATGGGTCATTTCCTGGAAAGAGATTTGAAAGGGAAGAAAAAGCAAATTATAAATAGAATATTTATTGATACTTAACTTTACAAACTTATGGCAGAGTGGACTGATGATAAATTAAAAGGGAAATGCTGACTGTTATGTCAATTTACTCTTTCTCAAACTAATTAAAGAGTGATTGTCAAAAAAAGCTGAATATCTTTGAGTTACATAACTGCACTAATCAGTTCTAAGAAGGAAAACAGGAGCTTAAAACATGAATGAATATTATAAAGCACGAAAAGTATAAGGAGTGTTCCTGGGGCTTATGTAACTGTGCGAACTCTAGACGGCGGGTCTTTGTGGAGGAGCGTTCTGTGCTCAAAGCCGTCTTTCTCCCTCTGCTTCTTTACTGCATTTCCTGGAATTATTTAAGTTCAAAGGAAGAAGAACTTTCCTGTTTGACTTAAGCAAACAAGTCATTCAGGTCACTTGTTCCACTTGGGAGAGTTTTAATGGGTTTGACCCTTCCCTGATATTAGCACATAGGAACTTTTTAGGGGCAGAAGGGTTTAAAAACTACTTTCCCTTTCTATGTACAGTAGGTTAATATGAAGGCCCTATAAGAATACGAGATACTCTTACAATATAATTTACAGAATGAAGTATTTTGACAGCATTATAAAGTACTTTAAAATCTAACTTAGTGATAGCATTACCTTCCTCTCTGGATGTTACAGTGAAAGTAATAATAGCCCACAATAATAATTTAGAAGTTTTGTTTATGTGGGTACAGTGTCTGCTAAAATAGAAAGGAATTACCTTTGTGGATTTTTTTTTTAAATTCACTATTAGGTTCTTTTTTATTCACAAATTCTTTGAATAAGATTTCTAACACCTTCAAGTTAATATACTTATTAATGTATCTTTTTCTCCCTAAGCATTCATATGAATTTTGTTTTGCTAAAGCCAGTGGAAAACTGTCATGTCAGATAAAGACTATATATTTGCAAACACACACTTTTTTTTCCTTCAGAGAAAAAGAACTAAAAAGGTACAAGAGATCATGAACCCCATCTTCTACCACACTCTACATATGAGAAAACTGAGTTCCAATATGACTAGTATCAAGTTCCTCCCACCCTTCCCCCCTGCAAACCAATGGCAGGGGAAAAGCACAGGGCCTCTCTCTGTCTCCTCATTCTAAGAGAAAGAAAGGCGGCCATTCCCACATGCACTGACTGGCATGGCAAATTGGCTTACGGATCAAACGGCAGCTCTCTACCCTGCCAACTGGTGGTCCCAGAGCACACACAACATGGAGAATCATGCATATGCAAGAGATCCTGCACATGCATGGTGTATGTGTGACACATTTTATATAAGAACACCTCTTTCCAAAGCGCTGTCTAACCACAGAAATTCTGCATTACCACAGAAATGCCCTTTGGGGGCTGGATACAGGGCCCGAGCAAGTAACCCTGCTGCCAACTCTTCCCTTGCCCTTTCCTAACCACCACTCCTTAGGCTGCTGAAGCCCCAGGACAGACACAAATAACTTGGCATAGTGACAAGCAAAGAGGAAAACAAGAGGAGGATGTTGGCTTCCTTAAGTAACTTTTGTTAAAGGTGAAGTCATGCCCTTGTCTACTGACTTAGCCATCTGCTTTGCATAGTACAAAACTGGAATAAGTCTGCACTAAAATGTGACAGGAGCTCTGAAGTCACTCAAACTGAAATCGTAACTCTTATTAGTCAAGACAGCCCAAGCAAAATGTTAGAAGCCGGTCATTGCTGAGTTGATTACGGTTCATCACAACCCTCTGTGCATCTCACTGGGCCTGTGCTCCACAGGGTTTCCCATGGCTTTTGGATGTGGAATCCCAGGCCTGTCTTCTGAGGCATCTCAGGGTTAAACAGACATCAGATCTTTCAGTGAGCAGACAACTGCATCAACATTTGTACCCCTCAGGGACTCCTGAGTAAATTGTTACTTAGGTTCAAATATGCTCTTGGAGTTTGTCTGTCCTCAGTCATGGGTGGATGGCTGTTAGCTAAAATTGAGTTGATTCTGACCAATGGGGACCATAAGGGCAGAGTACCACTGCTCCACCAGACTTTCAAGGCTATGACTTTCCAAAAGTAGACTTCCTTGTCAGTCTTCCAATGTGCCTCAGGAGAGGTTCGAACCACCAGAGATACCATTAAGTGAACAAACATTACCTATTTTTCCAAGTGCTGTGAGGCTAATTTCTGTGAAGTGCTTTGATGATACATGTTGGGTTGTTGTCATTTGCCCTCAATTCTGATTCTAGAGAAAAGAGCTCAACTGAGCCACAGACTTTCCAAGGCTACCTCTTCATGGAAGCACACTGCTTCTATGAGGATTCCCTGGCTATGCATATTAGTGGAAGAGATGACTCACCTTCTTCCTCAGAACTTCTCTGGGGTTTGAACTGATGGAGACATTCAGCTTTTGGATGAGCAACAAAACATGCTTCAGACTAGACTACTGGCACTCCAAATATTACTAAGCAATGTTACTCTCAAAGTCTAAGCCTGTCCCTGGCTATTAAATAAAGAATCCAGAAAGTACACAATTCTTTTCAGCTCCAAAATGTTTCTTTGGTAGTCTCTAAGAATTTGCATAACTTTCTAAATGCCTAGCTTAGGCGAGGGACTTGGGTCTTAGTAGAATTAGATCCATTGCTAAGGCTGTCCAGAAATCACAAGGCTATAATTGCACTTCCTACCTTCAGTGGCTTATCTCAGAGGAAGGCAAAGCAGCTGACACTTTGTTCAAGTCTTGGCATTCAAGGCTCTCAGTTCTCTCTACCTCTCTACTTTGTCTCTCCACGCTTCATTTTCCTTCTCAATATGATCTCTATGACAGCAAAAACTTTTCCATTCTTAGTGATGAGAATGGGATTCTGGTGGTCGAGTGGTAAGAAGCTGCACTACAATCCTGAAGGCACACAGTTCAAACTCACCAGCTGCTCCATGGTAGAAGGATGGGCAATCTCCTCTCATGCAATTAACTGCCTCTGAAAACGTGCTGGAGGGTCAGTTCTGACTCAAAGTGCAAAACAATGACGACCACAACAGTGCCAAGAATAGGGAGCTCTAGTAGCTTAGTGGTAAGTAGTTGCTTTGTCAACCCAAAGGCAGGTGGTTCGAGTTTACCTGCTACTATGTGGGAGAAAGATAGAAAATCTCCTCGTGCAATTTACTGCCTCTCTGAAAATCCACTGGAGGGTCAGCTGTGGGCTGGCTCTGACTCGATGATACACATCAACAGTGCTTAGAACAGTATGTGGGAAAAAAAAAGAACAGTATGTGGAGGCTTACTAGGTATTTTTTTTTAATAAATGAAATGAATAAACAAATGAATAGTGCTACCACTTAGTGTCTGGGGTCACTGGAATGTTGCACTGGCGCAGTGGCTACTAGTATTACACTCATTCCCAAGAGGTTGCAGAGGCTGGTTCTGTAAGAAGAAAACCCGGGTTATTTCCAATTGCCCATTGCGGGCACAGTGCATTTCTGGACCCTGGTATACAGTCAATTCCTGGTCTCTAGCAGTAAATGCCTGCAGGAGTTACAGGCTACTACTTCCCCTTTGTCAAAACACTTGAATCCTTAACATTTTCCCCAGAGAACTAAACAATGTTTTCTGTAATTGATTTTTCCCTGTTTGGGTACTATTTACTGCTCCCACTGCCTGTCAGTATGATTTGTGTTTTGATTCCTGGCAATCTTAATAAATCGCTGGTACAAGCCAGGAACGGAAACCTCGAAGCCAAGGAAAGCACGTGGCTCAGCATCAGAAGGATGAGCTGGAATGGACCCTGGAGACCATCTACTAGCCCAGCCCTTTGTCCCTTTTTTAACTGACAAGGAAACTGACACAGAGGGAGGACATTCAACTTAACTACTATCAGAGACAGAGGAAAGCAGGGGCAGAGTCCCCACTACAAAAAAGACCCACTTACTCTTCATTCTCAGACATGCTTTCATTTGCTTTCTCTACTTACGATTCCCACATTAAAACAAACATCCTTTCCTTAGCATTAGCTACTTCCTTTGAAATATCTGAGGTAAGTATGAATTCGTTCAGCTGATGCTAGGTAAGCGAGAAGGGCAACTGAACGAGTTTATACAAAATATTCACAATGCCTGTGTCTGGTTTTCTAAGAGGCATCTTCCTAAAGCATATATTAATATATATCAAAACCTAAGAGAAGCATTGATGTGCGCAGAAGATAAATCTGTACTGTTGCATTTGCTTTTGAAAGAACAATAGAACAAACCATATGCACAATTTCAGAGAAAATGACATGATCATATTTTATAAGTTAGTCCTCATTCTTAAAAAGAATTTCAGAAACAGAAAAAGATGAAACAAAAGCTTAATTTATATTCTATAAGTATTAAATATAATGCTTTCTTGTTATCTGAAAACAATTATATGAAATATAATTTAATTATATCTGTATCCCTATCTATCTATCTATCTATCTATCTATCTATCTATCTATCTATCTATCTATCAATACATAGGGAGCTCTGGTGGCCTTGTGGTAAGGAGTTGAACTGTCAACCTGCAGCCAAACAGTTCAAATCCATGAGTTGCTCCATATGAGAAAGATGGGCAATCTCCTCCCATGTCATTATATTGCCTCTGAAAACCTGCTGAAGGGTCAATTATGAATCCATTACAAAGACAGAAGAGGAAGAAAAGACCAAAATGGATGTCAGAAGAAACTCTGAATATTGCACTGGAGCACAGAGAAGCCAAAGCACAAGGAGGAATTCAAGATACTAAAGAGCTGAACAGAAGATTTCAAAAGGCAGTGTGGGATGATAAAGTAAAATATTACAATGAAATGTGCAAGGAGCTGGAGTCAGAAAACCAAAAGGGTCAAACTCGCTCAGCATTTCTTAAGCTCAAGGAACTGAAGAACAAATTCAAACCTCGAGTTGCTATAATCAAGGATGCTTTAGGAAGAATATTAAATGATCCAGGAGGTATTAAAAGAAGATGGAAAGAATATACTGAGTCACTGTATCGAAAGGAATTGGAAGACACAGAAGAATTTCATGAAACAACATATGAGCAAGAGCCTGTGGTGATGAAGCTGCTTTGAAGGAAATAGCAAAAAATAAGACCCCAGGAATAGATGGTATACCAACTGACATATTTCAGCTAACAGATGCTGCCCTGGATGTGCTCACCAAGTTGTGCCAAGAAATCTGGAGAACAACCACTTGGCCAACTGACTGGAAGAGATCTATATTTGTTCCCATTCCAAAGAAAGGTGACCCAACAGAGTGTGGAAACTATAGAACAATATAACTGATTTCACATGCAAGCAAGAGTCTGCTGAAGATTATCCAAAAATGACTGGAACAGCACATTAGCAGAGAACTACCAAAAGTCCAGGCTGGGTTTAGAAGGGGTCGTGGTACTAGGGATATTGTAGCTAATGTTAGATGGATCTTAGCTGAAAGCAGAGAATACTGTGTGGATTATAACAAACTGTGGCTGACTCTGAGAAGAATGGGAATCCCAGAACACTTGATCATGCAAATGCAACACTTATACTTGAACCAAGAGGCAGTTGTCTCAACAGAGCAAGGAAATACTGCATGATTCAAAATTGGGAAGGACGTACGCCAGGGATGTGTCCTGTCTCCATACCTTTTCAACCTGTATCCAGAACAGACCATCAGGGAGGCTGGGCTCTCTGAGGAGAAATGTGGCATCAGGATTGGTGGAAGATCCATAAACAATGTGCGTTATGGAGATGACACAACCCTGCTTGCTGAAACTGAGGAGGACCTGAACCGCTTGCTGCTGAGGGTCAGGGACTGAAGCCTTCAATATAGATTGAGGCTCAATGTCAAGAAGACAAAGATTCTCAGCACTGGACCAATGGCAGCATCAGGATGGATAGTGAAGAGACTGAGATTGTTCATAGCTTTAATTTGCTTGGCTCCACAATCAACACTCTTGGCACCAGCAGCCAGGAAATTAAAAGACGTATTGCCATGGGAAAGTCTGCTGTTAGGGGCCTCTCTAAAGTACTCAATAGCAACGGTGTGTCTCTGGAGACAAAGGTGTGTCTAGTACAGGCCATGGTCTTTGCAATCACTTGTTATGCATCAAAGAGCTGGACAAGGATGAGGGAGGATAGAAGGAGATTTGATGCTTTTGAGCTTTGGTGTTGGAGAAGAGTGCTGAAGGTGCCATGGACTAAGAGAACAAACAGATTCACCCTGGAGAGGGTTAAACCAGGCTGCTCCTTGGAGGCAAGGATTCTGAGGTTTCGTCTGACATACTTTGGTCATGTTGTAAGGAGAGACTGGTCCTTGGAGACAGATAGCATGCTTGGGAGGTTGGAGGGCAGGCGCAGGAGGGGAAGGCCCTCTGGGAGATGGATAGATTCGGTGACTGGGGCAATCGGGTTGAGTGTGTTGGAGGCAATGAGATTGGCACAGGACAGAGTTTAGAGCTGTTGTAGATAAGGTCGCTATGAGTCGCAAGCGACTCAACGGCACACAACAACAACAACAACAACACATAGATCACCACTATATAGTATTATATAGTAATGAAGACTATTAGTTTCTTATTTCCAGCATGCCAACTTATGTTTCCTCAAAGCTACTTTATTCCCTCCTTATATAAAGAGGAGAGAAAATGATGGCACTGTTTTCCAAATATCCATTTAGACACTTTTCTCAAAAACTTTACAAGAAGTAAACAAAACAGTTATAAAAACTCAAAAACGATGATTTGCTATCACAATCACTTTTTACGCTGAAAAATTAAAGAAAATATGTGGTAAATGTATATTTTGAGGAAAAACTGAATGGGAGAGAGCAAAACATACAAGTGCATTTGTCACATGTACCTCTTTTACTTAGAAAAAAGAATTCGAAATCTCACACACACACAAAAAGTATAGTAAGACTACCATTAAAATTGACATGGAAGAAAATGAAAAGCTATACAAACATGTGCCTAATCCAGGCCATGGTCTTCTCACTTATTTGTTATGCTTCAGAGAGTTGGACAATGACTAAGGATGACAGAACAAGAATAGATGCCTTAGAGTTGTGGTGTTGGAGAAGAGTCTTGAACATACCATGGACTGCCAAGAAAATAAACAGGTCTGTCTTGGAGAAGGTGAAACCAAGTCGGCCCTTGGAGGCTAGGATTCTGAAGCTCCGCCTCACTTACTTTGGGCACGTGGCCAGGAGAGACTGGTCCCTGAGAAGGACATCATGCTTGGAAGGTTGGAGGGAAAGTGCAGGAGAGGAAGACCCTGGACGAGATGGATTGATATAGTAACTGGTGCAATGAGGGGTGATGTGTCAGAATCAGTGAGACTGGCTCAGGACAGGGAAGGATTCAGAGCTGCTGTACACAGTATCACTATACATCACAGGTGACTCAATGGCACATAAAAACAATAATATACTATGACAGATTTGGAAGCAGGAGCGGCATCCACTTCCTTAACAACATGCCTCCGGAAACTCTATGAACTTTGATAAATGTCGATAGTTGTAGAGGGGCTTTAGGCCATTTGTTCACAGGGTCGTTGTGAGTCGTGCTTGACTCGAAGGCAATTAACAACAACAACAACAACAATAGAGAATGAGTCTAAGTAAGTACACAAGATCCCCAGGCACAACCATTATTATATTTGAATATTAAATTCAGTTCTTGATTTCCAGAAATTAAATCCAAATCTGAAACATGGTAGCTTATATAATTATTATCTGATAATAAGATCTGATAAAAAGAAAGCATGCTTGTTTCTAGAGGAAAATGACATATTCTATAATGCAGAATTAGAAATACAGTACATGCCCCCTCAAACTGAATTCTAGAAACAATGTCATACATCTGCAAGATAAACTTAAATAAATGGAAAATGTAGTCAATGACAAACTTGTTGAAGGGCAAATGCTTATAACATGGTTTAAAAAAATAATCCCAAGGTAGGGCTAGGGTTGTTAATTTACTTCCTAGCATTTTTCCTTTTATCTCATTAAGAATGTATCATCTCGTTGAAGAGGCAGATCTCTACCAGGCATCACTTAGAATAAAACCAGAGGCATAAATCAGCTACTACTTAGCTCCTTAGTGCCTTCCAAACTACCACACAGGAAGTATTCTCTCTTGAGGAACAACCAGAAAAACTGGGATATGACATAACTATGGTTCAAAGGCCTCGTTTGTAGTCTTCATTTTAATTAATCAAGTCTGTTTGAAAACTCAGCAATGTCCAGTTATCTCCTCTGGTTTATTTTACTTTTGAAAACGTGAGGAAAAATAATATTTACAGGAGCTTTGAAATAGGTACTTTTCATAAAGTGAAAGCAAATGGCTGTCTAGCTGCCTGATTAGATCATTCTAAACCTAAGAAACAGCAAGAGACTCACCTTCAGAATCTCTTCAACACAATGGACTTCATTGGAGTAGGTCTGCTGAAAAACCAAGTGGGGGAAGGTCAGTAAAGAAACAATAATTATCATGATGGTAAACAGTATTAACACAGCAGTACTTTTTCAAATCCCAACCTTTACTAGCTGTGTATAAGTGATTACTCCAAGATATGGACACACAGGGTTAATGATGGCAGACTAAGACAGACTCACAGGTCAAACATTTCTAATAGGGCATTTATATATTAAGAAAATCAGTATAATAGTACATCTAAGTGAACAGTTGTTGTTAGGTGCCATTAAGTACGACTTGAGTATGACTCATACGGACCCTATGAATAACAAACCTCAATCCTGTCTTATCATCTCTGACACACTTAAGCCCACTGCTGCAGTCACTGTGTCAATCCACCCCACTGAGGGTCTTCCTCTCTTTTGCTGACCCTCCACCTTTTCAAGGAATATACTCTCCTAGAAACATGTCTGAAGTATGACAGATGACACTTCATCATCTTTGCCTCTAAAAAACACTCTGGCTGCACTTTTTTCAAGATATATCTGCTCTTTTGGCAGTCCATGGGGTACTCAATACTCTTCTACAGCACCACAATTCTCCCATCTCTATTCACTGCCTAACTCTCCGATGCATAGCAGGCGATTTAAAAGACCATGGCCTGAAGCAGGTGCACCTTATTCTTCAAACTGACATCACTGCTCTTAGGTATGTTAGGGATGTCACCAACAGCAGATTTTCTCAACGTAACACATCTCTTTATCCTTTGACTGCTAGTATCAGAAGTGCTGACTGTTGTTTCAAGAAAAATTAAATCAGTGACAGCTTCAATCCTTTCTCCATCTATCATGATGTTGTTTACTGGCCCTGTAGTGAGGAGTTTTCTTGATGTTAAGATATAATCCATACTGAAGGTTGTAGTTCTTGATTTTCTTCAGCAAAGCATTTCATGGTCTCCTTACTTTCAGCAAACAAAGTTGTGTCACCTACATACCACAGGTTACTGATGAGTCATCCTCAGACCCGGATTCCATATTTCTAGTTATAGAGGTCATCTCCATGAATCTTTTTATCAGCATACAGATTGCATAGGTCAGGGGGAAAGGTATATCCCTGCTGCACACTCTTCCTGATTTTAAACCATGCAGTATTTCTTGACTCCACTGGGATAATAGCTTCTTGAAATAGGTATAGATTTCACAGGAGTACAATTAAGTGTTCTTGGGATTTCCATTTTCCTCAAGGTTAGCCACAGTCTGTTACAATCCACACAGTCAAATGCATAGTCAATGGAACATAAATAGATATTCTGGTCCTCCCTGCTTTTCAGCCAGGATCCATCTGATATCTGCAATGATATTGCTGGTGCCACAGCCTCTTTTAAACCTCATCTGAACTTCTGGCAGTTCCCTGGGAATGTACTGTTCTAGCCCCTTCTGCTGCCACTATCAACACTATAGATGCATAAGAAATTATCATTTTTAAATCCTCACTTTTTAAAGAAAATAGTTTTTTTTCTTCTCCTTACCTGCAAACATGGAAAAAGCTCACAATTACATGGTTTTCAACAGAACAGCAACTTCTGCTGCACTGTGACAGTTCTTGTGCCAAGTGCCCTGCACAGAGTATAGCAAGTACTGTGTAACAGACATAGCCTCCCATTATTGCCGGAACTGCATACAAATGCTGCTATTCCCAGTCAGTTTAATATAATATCTTCCTCTCTGCTAGACAGCAAATGGAAAGGGAGTCTTTCCTTGTCTGAATTTCTAATTTAGCAGTATTGTTAAATGTGAGATTGGTTGTTAATTCATAATATAGGGTTTATTAATCTACCATTTCTTCAATTCTTGTTTACTCTATGGGAAAAATGAAAAAGGAAAGAAAATAAACAACATTCACATTGCCTTCTCTTTGAGTCTAACAAGCATGTCTAAACGGAAATGCAATTTGACCTGACTGGGTCTATTTTTAAAATATGCAAATTTCATGGAAAAAATGTTTTATTGAGAATTCCCTATTAGATCAGGCCCACCTAACATTATGTATGTAACAGGGTAACTTGACTTGGTGATTTTGTTTTTCAGAACCTTTACGAAAACTCAAACTCATTGCCATAAAGTTACAACAGATGCATAGCTGACCCTCCAGGGAGGTTTTCCCCAAGCTGTAATCTGTCTAGGAGGAGACTGCCCATCCTTCTCCAACAGAATGAATGATGGGCTGGAAACACCAGCGAAGTCCCCTACAGACTACACCACCAGAGCTTCCTAAAGCACTGTTGTTGTTACGTGCTGTAGAGTTGGAACCAACTCATAGCTCACCCTCCAGTGGGTTCTAAGAGCCAGTGAGTTGACTGCTGATCTTTCATGGAGAAGATGATGGGTTCAAACTGTGTGCCTTTAGGCTGGCAGCACAGCTCCTTCACACCAGGCCACCAAGGCTCCCTCCTAAACCATTAGGAGGCATAAAAACCTGCCCACACTTTAGTGCTCTATTTTGGCGCATATATCAGAGAGTGAAATACAGGCTGTTTTGACTTGAAGATAAAATCTGTTTGTACTCTATGGCTTCATTTTTAACATACATAAGGGGAGAGAACCATACACACAACTAGAGGTTGAAAGTGAACGAACAGAACAAAGTACATGATTATACTGACACTGTTCAAATAGCCCTTGCATCTTTTCTGCTGTAGGGAGGAGAACAGAGATCTATTCAAAATATTTGGCTTTAAGTGAAAATACTGAAGCATACTGAAATGATAAAGGCAAGAGGTTTGCAGGCTGCTTCTGGAGATGCAGTGGGCCAAGAGTCGTGCTGCTAACCAAAAGGCCAGTGTGTGGAACACACCAACAACTGCTGTAGAGAAAAGAGCTGCTCATGTAACAATTTACAATCTTGGAAATGCTCTGGGCAGTTCCACAAGGCTGTACGGAATATCTGTGAGCTGGAATCAGCTTGAAGGCACCAAGTTTTGTTTTTGTTTTCCTTTTAAGAATGAGATTAGAACTACAACTTCAGGACACTGAAGGATTTCCTTTAGATCTTTTAATTACTCAAGCAGTTAGGATTTAATCAAGGTGTTTTTTGACACCAAAAAATTCATTCTCTTCACCCTCAACCTCCAGTTTTACCACAATGGATGAGTCAGGACTGAAGACATTTTCCTAGAGTTTCTTTTATGGCAATATTTATCCTACCCAGATGCTAATAAAGTCACTTTTTAGCCCACTTAATTTCCAAAATAAGGACTTTGTTTCAAGCATTAATTGTTTAATATACACTAAATTTTCATAGAAAGTCTGTTATAGGGTTGAGGTATCTCAAAATTGAAAGTACAGAAAATTCCATTCCAAATGCATGAGCAGAACTTGTCCTTAAGCATCTCTAAGCAGTACTGTGTATAAAGGCAAACAGAAGCAATCAAATGTGTAATAACAGAGGTTTTGCTAAATGCCTGTACAGCACATCCTGACAACAGTACACCATCCATAACAGAAACAGTATGTACGTGCTGGTGTGGAAAGAGGCGATGCATACTTAACAATGGGCTTAGGCAGAGCAGAGACTGTGAGGATGATGCAGGATTGGACATGGTGTTGTTCTGTTGTACACAGGGCCCTGATGAACTGGAGTCAACTCAATGGCACAAAACACCACAAACACTTCTTGAGATACATACGTCCACTCTCTTTCTACCATTCTACTTAGAAATTCAAGTACAGATATTTCAAAGGATTTTGAGAGAAAGATCTGTAAGGAAATGCTGTCTAGCTAATCAAGCACAACTCAGTACTTCCACAGCAGCCTGGAAGGTTTTTCACAAAGGGAAAGGCAGCTGAGCAAGCCATTGTGCCTTATTCCTTTCCTTGAAAATTCATTTTCCTTATACTGTCTCCAGTTTCCAACACACCAACGCCCCCTGCCCCAGATACTCTATCAATCCATCTCATCTGGGGTCTTCCTTTCCTGCCCTGCCCCTCCATCCTTCCAAGCATGATGTCCTTCTCTAAGGATCAGTCTCTCCCGGCCACATGCCCCAAGTATGTGAGGCAGAGCTTCAAAATCCTAGCCTCCAAGTAAATACTTGGTTTCACCCTCTCCAAGACAGACCGTTTTGTTTTCTTGGCAGTCCATTGTATGTTCAAGAATCTTCTCCAGCACCACAACTCATCTATTCTTGTTCTGTCATCCTTAGTCATTGTCCAGCTCTCTGAAGCATAACACATAATTGAGAAGACCATAGCCTGGATTAGGCGCACCTTTGTCTCTACACTGACATTGTTGCTTTTCAGCACTCTGGAGATGTCCATGACAGCAGATTTTCCAAGTGCACCTTATCTTTTGATTTCCTGCCTGGTAGTGAAGTGTTGATTGTGGATCCCAATAAGCTGTAATTGCTAACAACCTGAATTTCTTTCTCCATCTATCATGATGTTGACAATCAGCCCCATGGTTGAGAATCTTTGTCTTCTTGATGTTGAGCTTCAATCCATATTAAAAACTACAGTCCTTGACCTTCTGCAGTTGCTATATGCTGCATGCAACTCAATGGCACATAACAAAAACATACCATGTGGGTGATTTGTTGTTTTGGTTTGTGTGTGTGTGTGTGTGTATGGTTTTTTTATTTTTTTTTAATTTAAGCCTCTTGTTTAGAGTAAAAAAGATGTCATGGAGGGCCTTTGTATTTAAAAGTCGGTTGTTACCATATTTTGGAGGGACATTCTTCTGTCAATTTGCTGTACTGAGGTAACCTGGGGTTGCTGTGATACTGAACCTTGTACCACTGGGGTGTCAAGTGCCATAACTATTACCCATGGTAGACAGTGTTTGGTGGAGTTCCCAGTTTATGACAAGTGTGGAAGCAGGAGTGGCATCCACTTCCTAAACAACATGGCTCTGGAAACTCTATGAACTTTGATAAATGACGATAGTTATAGAAAGGCTTCAGGCAGGCCTTTTGTTCATAGGGTCGCTATGAGTAGTGCTCAAGTTGATGACAATCAACAATAATGTACTGTCT